ACTGCTATTTTTTTGAACACACCCCTTTCAACTAATTGCCCAATTGCACAGCCTTAAGAGTGTGCATATCATGAATGCTGGGTCTTGTTTGCTTTCTGAGAATCTACTGCACCTACTGGTAACTTGTTTGCCATGTAGCAATAAAAAATATACTAAAAACCTGGATTATTCTGGTTAGTCACATTGTACTGCTATTATTTTGAACAATACTGTATAAACGAGTTGCAGCATCACTGACTCTATGCTTTATTCCTTTGCTGAGCAACACCCCACCATCTCTCTCACATCCGCCCAGTCTCCCACACCATCCATCACAATCTGCTCTCTTCTTCCTTTCTACCAATTTTTTTTCTTGCCCCCCCCCCCCTTTACAATCAACACTCCACTTCTCTTTCGAGTCACATTTCTTCACTTGCTCCTCTCCTTCTCACTCATCCTTTTAGTCCATCCTCCTCCCTTTTCTCCTTTATTTCCTCATCGATTCCCTCTACATCTCTCCCCCTCCCTCACTTGGTCACCAAAGGACTCTAACTCTATCCATGCCTCTGTGGCTCTCCCTCCCCACCGCACGCTGCTCGGCCGGCAGAGCAGGAGACAGTGCAGGACTAGACACAACCTCCATAGAAAACCTCCTGCACGTTTCTAAGAATACTATTCAACAACTCAGCTTCATGATAACAAAACCAGAAGAGTCTGTGTTAGGTCCTTGACTGGTTCTGAGTAGAGTCTAGACCCCGACCGTCTCAAACTGTACCACACGATGAACTTCATTTTAAAGTCCTTAAGTTACTGGAGCCCCTTTCCACATGTGAAATCATCCCAGTGAAAACTGTAGTGTGGATGTTTAGCACCGCTGACACCTGAGACCGTGGCCAAGTCAAACCAAAACCAGCTGCACGGCTCGAAAGCAACAGCTGTAAATGAGAAGTTCTGGTTTGGAGCGAACTGACTCTTCAAGATGAACAGTCTTATATTTTTTAATGCAGACACATAAACAGAACAGCAGCAATAGAAACAAACACATAAACCTAATATGACAGGTTAAACCACCACCTGATTATCTAAACTACTGCTGAACTGTTTCAGCACTATGAAAACAACTACAGCACGTTACTTCCTGTTTATTCAGCAGCGAGCTGTCAACTGAGATTTCAGACACTTTCCACATCCATCAGAGAAGTCAAACAACATACAACATACAACATACAGCTGTTTTATGGAGGAGACCATAAAGCTGAAGCTTTTGTGGCTTCACGTTACGTCACAAATGGACGAGAGGAAGAAAAGAAAGGAGGGCGGCTGAGAGAGGACTGCTGGGTGAATGAATTCAAAATCTCATCTCTGTCTCATGAATGGAAAATGCAGAGGAGCGACTCAGAGCTGCTGAACAGGAAACACATGCCTCTCCTTTTCAGACTGGTTGACATGCTTTAAAGTGCTGCGAGCAACAGTTTTCTCCATTCATCTGCATGAACTGAGGCTAATCCTCAAACAGGCCTTTACAATTTAACTGAACAGCGATGAAGTCACACAGTTTATCGAGCCTGAATTCAGTCTGTGAGGAGAAAAGCTTTTGTTGCTTCGACAACTTTGCAGTGACATCTGAATAAAATCTGAGGCAGAATTATTCATTTCCCCTCCCTGTCCAGTTAAGGATTCTGCTGAGTATGCACACTAATCTACATAAAGAAAAATGTGCATCTCAGATCCTCGTGCATCTACAATATTCAGCCGAAGAACTGCAATATGATTTTAGCATCATTAATTCATGAAGGGCTGACAAGGCTCTGTGCTGCTTCTTTATCACAAAATTTGCATTTTATAGTATCATTTATGATAAGTGGACTTCATTAAATAGCGCGCACACACACACACACACACAGGGACCTTTACATGCCAAGTAACTGTGATCTGACTGGAGGTGTATCAAGTTAAAAAACCAGTCAAAGGAACAAGTCGGTTCCAGGATGAACGTGGGAAGTCGACCATCAAACACAACAAAACGCATTTAGGCTGCAGTGAAAGGTAAAGTGTGAGTCTGGACTCGCTCCAACACCTTCACTAACAGAAAGCTGCCAGATGGACCACAGAGGGCTGAAAGGTTTTATGAACTGTGTTCTGGCCAGAGGCTACTGAGGCACGTCTTGACAAGCAGCAGTGTTTTTAAAAGTGATGGATATTCACCTTTAAACCACCAGCAGCAGCAGACATCTGATCAGTTTTTCCAGGATTAAAGAGACAGCAGGAAGGAGAGGAAGGAAAAATACTCTCTTTATGTCAGTGCTGTGTGTGAGCTGTGCCTTTGTGCACACTCTCTATGCAGTGTGTATACGTGTGTGTGTTCTTACCCTGCTGCTGGGCATCGAACAGTGTGGGGTCAACAGCGGGCACCGATCGGGGCATAGGCACTGGTTTAGCTGCATCTGCCGGTCACAAAAACAAATACTAAATAATAAACGATGTGCACTGAGACTTCATGTGCCTGTTACTTGTAAAACATATCTGATAAAGTGCAGTAGGTGAGAAACAAATGGTTTCACAAATAGTGAAATTTAAGTTGCTCTGCTTTGATAAACACAACAGACAAGTGAAGGTTGAACTGATGCTACAAAAGTAGAATCATTTCACCAAAATGTGGACTTTGTTTGTTTCAGGTCTGACAGTAAACAGTGTCTTTATACTGAACCGTGAGTTTTTGTTAACCCTCACCAAGTTGCCTTGGTACCTAAACTTAACCAGCTCAGAGATGTGCAGTGTGTGTCATTTTGGAAGACAATGGATTTTGTCTTGAATGTTGTCTGAAGCAGAAATGATCAGATATGAATGCATAGAAATACCATTATTTATTCACTGCTGACATGGCATTTTAAGGATAATCACTTTTATCTGGCCAAGTATGTTACACACAAGGAATTTGTTTCCAGTACAGAACTGATGGCAGCCATCTGTGGCGCCAACTCACACTGGTGGCTCTAACCATCAGGGGGCAAGGGAAGGGGTTCAGTGTCTTGCCCAAGGACACTTCGCCATGTGGACTGCAGGCACTGAGATTCAAACCTCCAACCCTCCAGTTGGGAGACGACCGCTCTACCCACTGAACCACAGTTGCCCACCTTTAATCTTTCATTTATTTCTGACTTTATGTACAAACAGCAGAAACTGTTTTGTCTGTGTCATTTTTCCTTCAACTGTGTGAAGCAGAACAAAGGACACCACAGTTTTCCACTAATTAAAGCCACAAACAGTAAAATGGTGGTTAACACACTGATCATAAATTAGCTGTAGCTGGGTTTTCAAATTTACACATACAGGCATACAAACATCTGTAAAACAACCCTAAACAATACTGGAAACGTCCAGTTGGAGGACAACGCTTCACTTCTGAAACCCTTTTACTACAACAGTAACATTTGGGAAACTGTGTCCCCAAGTCTGGTTGGTATCTCTGAACCACGACTGTATCCCAAACAGTCGAGTTAGTGGCTCAGTGACAGTGAAAACCCCTCAGAAAGAGACAGAACACTAGAATCCCTCCAAGTAAAACAGAGGTTAAGTTCAGTGACTGATCCGTTTATGCTCCCTCTAGTTTTCTATCAGATCAGAGTTAAAATTAATTTGGTTCCAGATTTGTTTTTAGACTATAAGCCTAAAATAATCAGACTTTCAGAGGGAGTGATAACACACACAGGACTGAACCACACGTGTGAACGCACACCACAGTGTGTATGACTAACAGAACTCCTGCCGCTCGGGTGTAATCAACAGCACCTCACAGGGAGTGAGCGCCCCTCGTCTGTCAGCGATGACTTCAGGTACCGGACCAGAGCCAAAGTCAACTTCTGTCACTCATTTTCTCCACTCACGTCTTCCTTACAGCAGGGACGTGTCGGCCAGACAACCCCCAGCTGTGTGTGTGGGGAAACACTGTTTGGATTTTCTCCTGCCAGATCTTTGTGCAGAGCCTTGTGTAACCCATGCTGTAACCCCCCTAATTACTTGCTTTCTGTGTGCGCTACACGACCCACCACACCTTGTTTTGTGCTGCATCCCTCGAAGTAGGAAACTGAATCTAAATGTCCTCTGACCCAAGCAAACAAAATAATCAGGAGGCGCAAGAACCTTGACAAAGGCGTTGCATTACCCTTTGTCTGATTTGCCACAGGGGGACAATTATGTCTCGCACAATTAACATGAGTCTCTGTGTCAAGCCCCCAGTAATTACAGCTATCAGTGAACATTACCAAACTCCACAGCACAAGTCAAATTTGGCCATAGTTAAGATCCAGAAACCCTCACTTCAGAGCGTTTCTCTCTTCTTCACAGCCTGGAGAGGACATCTGCAAACACTTACACCAAAGCCCAACATAAACACACACACCCACAGCACCGGCTGAACAAAGTGTGACTCTCCTAGGGAGGGGTGTTATTGAATGCAGTGCTAGAAATCTTTAATGCCGTCACGTATACACTGTTATCAGGGGAAATTAGCATGAAACAGGGATTAGAGGACTGATGACAAGAAGGGCTTTGAACCAAAAAAAAGGCAGATCATCTACTTCACCATAGACAATTGATCATCAGAGAATAGCAAGGCATAATGACACCATAATGACCCTATCATTACTATAATTACCTTCCATCACCCACCCTCCCGTACAGGCAGAGTTATAAGTGCATGACATCTGGACCCGGAGCAGAGAGGCTCCCTGGCTGATGAATAGTTGAAGTCCAATCTCTGACATCTGGGCAGCTGTGTCTACTCAGCAGGTTTAGTTCTCTTGAACAAGAGGTGCTGACGGCAATGGTGATGGTTTATAGACAGCCAAAGTCATAGTGTCACTTACTGTCTAGGCCCTGTTCCACTAGCTCCTGTAACTTTGTACAGTCTGTCATTCAGCATTTCATCCATCTTTCGAACAAAACTGAAACCTGCACCCGCGGTCTACAGCTCATGGACATTTCCCAGGGGGACGGTACAGGGCCCTGTGTCATCATAACTTGGTTGCATTAACATCTATAACGTCGACAGATAGAAGCTCTCCGACTATTTAGATGTAATCTCCACTACCTAAGACATCTACAGCGGCTCGTCTTCTCTGTGCTGTTGTTACAGACATGTCTGACCTAACTGTGACCTCTCCACCTGCTCCAAGCACTCGCCCCCCTCGGGCTCTTAAAAGGCAGCTACAAACAGAAATACAGTGAGTTCCAAGCACAGAGTACTGCTGCTGGTGTGGCAAAAAATACTGGGTAGTCCCAAACAGGCTGTCCCTGCTCCATACCTGTGGGTGGGGGCAGCTCAGCTGGAGTATTGGCCGGTGCGTGGGCCCCTGGTGGGATGTGGATGTTGTTGTAGTTGGTGGTGGGGGGAGCCGATGGTCCCAATCCTGGACCAGGGGTAAAGCCAATGCCTGGAGCGGGACCCGGACCCAAACTCTGGTCCTCATGGGACTGGACAGAAGGATCCCTGAAGGACCCTCCCCTGAAGGAAGCCCCGTGGAAGGGGCCCAGGCCTGAGAAGCCTTCACCTCCAAAGTCATCTATCAGAGACAGTGAAGGAAAAGAAATGACAAGGGCAGAGGTGAGACTGTTTAATGTGAGACTTGCTGGATGTGTAATGAGTGTGTTATTCATATGCAGCATAGTTCATTAAAGGCTCCGTGGAGACACTCAGACTAAACCATTCCAGTGAAACCTGTTGGCAGCGTTTAAGACAGCATTTTTGGGGAGGTATGTCGCTGTAGCCTGGTTCCAGATCAGGTGTTCACTGACGGAGGCTCTCCCAGTTGGACATAAAACAACTGAACCCATCGACCCCGTGTAGGGGCCTCATAATCAGACTGAACAGTCAGCTGATTTCCACTTCTTTGCTTCTTGGGTGGGGGTGGTTTGTTTGGCCCTTACCAGTGCATGACTAGTGACGTATCCATCCCACAGACGTCTGTGTGAGAGTGGCGGCAGTGGATGTTGTTGTTCACTTAATGTTCTGCCAGACATTTGAACTTTTTAGAGCTTAAAAGTCAGTGTCTCTGTGTGTAAACTTACAGCAACCTGCTTTTCCCACAGTTGCTGCCATTTTTCCAGCATCTTTGTCATTTTTTATGGACGCAGGTTCCGACTATGGCAAAAAGAGCTGTCAATGAGCACAACACCAGACCCGGTTCAACCAATTAACAATTTGAAAATGTGGTTTGAAACCAGACTGGCCTGGATCATCAACTGCGAAGAGAAGGAAGATGGTTGCACCGCACTGCCACAGTTCCTTTATCAACTGAACGTGGCACTGACAACATGGACATGTTCAGCTGATAAGGGTAACCTTTTACATGGTCTGCTGGTAAAATGGAACTGGCAAATGATGCACCCTACAAACAAACTGACATTCAGGTCAATGCAACTCACGTGGACCAGACAAGCCACATCGCTGTGGCACTGCCATGAACCATTCATCGCCAATTCCTCCTATGTTCATCTAATAGAGCCCAGAGGTGTCAGTGCCTAAAGGAATAGGACATACTAAGCTGTTCAACAGAATGGTGGTGAATGGAGGAGCCTAAACGCCGTGGCCTCACTTGGCTTCAGTCACATACCGAAAATTGTTTCTCCATCAAAGGCACATCAGGTAACAGCGCATCCGAAATGGGTCTGGGTGAAATGATTGGAATTCATGAAAATAAGATTAAACTGCCCCGCCAGAGAGTGTGTAAGTCACATTCAAAGATATTAAATCAGAAATTGGTTTCAGATGAGGACTGGGACATGAAGCGGAGCCGTCCTCGGCATTTTAACTGTAGACCAGCCCTCGGTGACCCGACACGCTTCTCTCGTGTTCCCCAAGAGCTGCAGGACATCTTGTCTTTCCATGTTTTCTGTAATTGCAGCATGTTATGCCACATCTGCCAGGTCTTAATTTGACTGTGTGTGTTCTGTGTATTCAGTGTTCCTGTTACTGAAAGCTGCTGAGCTGCTCTTTGTTTGCTCGTGTTTTGTCTGATTTTTCATGCCGCTGGGCTTTGAGCTCTCTCAGCCACCACAGTTTAAGTTAGGCTGAGAACTTTGAAAGAATAAAGTATTTACATACTATGAACATGTACATCTATACATACGCATGATAAAAGTGGAGGTTATGTTGAAGTGAAGGGAGAAAGTGCTTCACAACCAAGTAATAATCACAACACTAGACCAAAACAAAGAAAGGAGACATGCTTACAGTATGAAAGACACTGTTAGATTTGTCAACAATAACTATGATGGAAAATGTTCATTGATAAAAACAAAACTAAAAATAAACATTTGATTACTAGAACTATGAGGAAATGAGCAGCTCCTCTGGGACCATTAGTGGCTGAAAGACTTGCCAAAGGGCACTTCTAACACGGTTTCTAAGTTATGTTCCTTCAGTGAGTCAGCTGTCTCCTGTCGGGAGCTACTCAGCTGCCATTCAGAGGGTGCTCTTCACTTCTAACGTGGTGTTAGCTGGAAAACAGGACCTTTACTATGGGTAGTGGTCCAGCACACATTCTGTAAGGACGGACTCCCGCAGACAGGCTGTGCTTGGGGGTGGGGTACTCATGTAATGGTGAGACAATAAAATATGATCCAGGAAGTCCAGTTGGAGGAACAGATGTGTGTTTTTAAAGCGTATTAAACTCCAGAACACAGCACAGATGGGGTCGCACAAATCTGGACAGTCCTACAGGGAAGGCTGCCAGAGCAGCCGTTTAATATTGTGTCTTACAAAATACAACACATATCACTATTTTTCAGCTAAGCTTTGGAAGCTGTTTTCTCCTCAGCCCCCTCCCTCCACCCCTTTCCTCTTGCTAAACACATCCCCCTCTGAGCCAATGAAACGTCAGACCAGAGGCTCCTGGGGGACAATGGTCTTTCTGTAACTACCACTGGTATAACTGTGTGTCAGTAAGCGTGACAGTAGAAGCAGAGAGTAGTAGGATGGCCTAAATAATACACACAAATCATTTTTGACACCCTGCCCTAACAGCACATCGCTGTCCGGGTTGTGTGGTACACTCCACTGGAACCATCAAATAAAACGTGAACAAACCAGAAAGCCCAAGAATATTCTCACAGTGGCCATTGGGCGTCTCAGAGAACAACTAGTCCTTCAGTAGTGAAAGCTTGGGTAACATCTTTCACAAACTGGAATATCTTACAGGTTTGCACATAAATTCAGTTTGACAGAAGGCACAGAGGGACCAGTAAACAGCTCAGACATCGGCAATCAACGTCTGCTGCACATCACTATCCTCGCTCTCTGGTCCATCTCTACTGTCAAACAAGTGCATTTTGACCACTGAAGTGTTAAACCTCTGGTTTTTACAGCAGGAAAAATGCACAGTTTTCCCACAAAAGTGACCTCCACCTACCGAAAACCATGTTTAGTCTACGAGACCAACAGTGGCCTAGAGCTGATCATGTCACAAAGGACTGCTTTCTGATGGAGGGGCAGATGACACAAAAACAAAACATCTGGACTGCTGATGTGTCAGTATGAGACAAGAGACAGACAAACACACACTGACTCCCAGTGTTGAAATGCTGATAAAATCCTGATACTGACAAAAAATAAATAAATAATAATAGGAGCGAAACCTCAGAGAGCAGGACACACCCACGCACGCTGGGTGGATGATATCAGCAGTGTGCTATCCATCACTGGGGATAAGCCATCATGATGTAATCACTGACACAGAGACCCTAACCCACACTAGACAGAGGCGTAGAGGAGTCCATGTTAGTAGATACAGGGTGTGACGGTGTGGGAGAGACATGAGAAAATACTTAAAAAGGAAAAGAAAGTGCAGTTACATGAAGCTATGATGTGTGTCCGTTTACTAAAGTACATGTATGGTGTGTTATGGATTGGTGGATGTTATGTTATGGGTGAGCAGGCGACCTTTGGGTCAAACGCCTGCACATATGTGGAGTAAATGGGCGTGGATGAGCAGATGTGTCACTATTTTAGCCAGGAATTCATCGACATCATGAAACATGCATTTCATGTTTCCTACAGGGAAGGCAAATGTAAGACCACAGGTTCTAATGCCAAAGGGCATTCCCGTTTGGCCTGGCGTCTTCCCCTGAGGATGTTGATGCAATTTCTAGCTCTCAACATGCAATCTGAAAATGAGTCCAGATGCTGGGGAGTCTCACATGGTCCAGTTTAAATTCTACTTAGCTGCCATCACTGCTGCTGTCTTTAAAAGTCCATCCCCTCCTTATTCACACAAATGATTTCAAAAGGCTGGTCCAGCGACCGTTGCCATTCACTGTGAATGAGCCGTGCCTTTGCAACCCTGCGCCCTGTCCAGCTACACTAAAGAAAGGTGAGGAAGGCGCAGGCGACATCCAGGTGAGAGCCAATCGCCATCATTTTGATTCAACCAGAAACTGAAGCACAGAGTTTTCCAAAGCTGCACTTCACTACGTGGAGGAACTTTAAACCAAATGAAGGTAAAACTTAATCACCACAGTCTCCTGCATCCCAGTTGTTAGCAATGTATCTTTAAATAGTTACAGGGACATAAAAAAGAAGAATGACTTGTGGAAAGTAATCTCCATCATACGTAGCAGTATGTAATACTGATAAAGTGCTCTGTGTGTGATGGGGAACAGGAAACCACAACCTTCTCCTCATTATACCCAGGTTGTGATACAAATTCCAGAACAAGACTTATTTCAAGGCAGTAATTTGAGGAATATATATTTGTTCTTTCCACAAAACTCTTTCCAAAAATCCCACTGCATCAGCAGTAAATGTTGCCTCACTACAAGAAGCTCTTACAAGGATTTTACTCAACTAAAAACTTGTCATGTCCAAAAGCTTAACCAAAGTTCTTGCAGCGTTCATACAGTGTTTATTTTCCCCCAGGTCACGCACTCCCCTCCAAAGACTCCACTCACCCCTGATGTGAATCATTTTAAACTAAATCACCACCTGCTAAAAAAAAAACCAAATGCTGGTGAGCTTGGGGGACGGCTGGTAAATTGGACCAATCAGCCAGAAAACCATCGAGCAGAAAACCATCATCTGGAGGTCTTGACCTAGTGCAAAGCTCCTTCGGCTTGTAACACGGTGAACTTTAAGAAGAGGCGCCCCGGTGGCAGCCGAACAAAAAGGTTAGATCCCTGTGTTTTCCCACAACTTGCACAATGAACTTTAAAGACTGCTATGGCCATTTTGTTGTCTCGCTAAGTCAGTCTATCTCCTGGGGATCTAGTGGCGTTTCCCATGAATTCTTTCTGCTAAAGGTTATGTTTTATGGTCCAGGCCTGGCATCAGAGGCAGGAGCTTTTCAATGTGACAAAAGGTCGATGATTCAAGAGCTGATCCTCGCTGGATATGCAAGGAACAGGGAAAATAATAAATATCACAAACACACACACGGAGGCCCAGCACAGCCTTATTGTACTGAGACACACACAAAGACCAAATTCACATTCATTTCATTTTCTCACACACAAGCACAAAGTCACTTTGGATTTCAAAACACAACACAACTTGTGTTTACCTGCTGCTTATCTCCCAAAGTCTCTGCTTTTTACCACAGTACTTTCCTGCAACAGTCTTAGACCTGATAAGGCACACAATGCAGAGCCTGGCTTCACGCACACACGCTGTGTTTTCATTCCTTGTGGGGACTTTATATTGACTTACATTCAATTCCTATAGACTTATCCTAACCTTAGCCATAACCATAACCTGCCTAACACCTAACCTTAAACCATGCTGCCACCCTAAAATTCAGTGATTTCCTTGTGGGGACCAGCGTCTGGCCAATGTGAGTGTGTTAACAGGTTTTGGTTCCTATAATGTAAGTAATACAAAGGCACGCACACGCAAAGCACCTAGAAAACGAAAGAGTTCTTTAAAGACCAAGTTCAGGAGAGAGAGCAGAGAAATGTTTCTTAGCAGGGAGCACAACGATGTGTGTGTTCATGAATGTGTGTGCCTTCCCGTATTGTATCAGTGTGTCCCACCTGCTTCCCCGTCCTCGTCCATGGCGATGGGCCCAGGCTGCGGCGTCTCCCCATTCTTCAGACAGTTGTGGATGTAGGTGGCCTTCCAGCGGGCATACTTCCGGTGCTGAATGTTCTGGCAGAGATTAAGTCAGGGGTGGAGATGAATACAAGAGGCTGTTAGTCAGGCTGTAAGGTCAATTTAAGGGAGTAGGGGTAATAAAATATAGGTCACAGTTGGTGGACGGTAAGGGATGGAAGTATATGAAGGACTTGGGGTCAAACATGGGTTAACTAGTAGGTCAGGGTGGTAAAAGATCCATGAGAGTGGCTTGGAGAGGCAACAGGTGGTAAGAGCTGAGGAGGCAAAGCGAGAAGACAGCAGCAGATTTACTTTGGCCTGAGGCTGATAAGAGTGAACAGATACCAGATAAGTATCATGTCCTCAGCAGCTCAGAAACAATGGCACACTGGAGCCTGCTGTGTCTGTTTAGCCTCAGTCTTACTGTATAGAAAGAGCAGCTAAAGGTAGTTAGCCAGTGCACAGGTGGAACTCCAACATTCATCTTTACTTTAGTGGACAGCGTCATGTGAATTTCAGGCGTGACATTATTCTTTCAGTCATCTCATATCAATACTTCAGGCTTATAAAGTTAAAGTTTGAACCAGGCCCTTCAGTCGATTCTGAAAAATTAGGTTTAGATTAAGTTACAGCTGCTCAGTTTGTCATATTTTGTTACATATTTAATGAAGTAAATACAAGATCAGATCAGATCTGGGCCAAAAACACATCCCTGGTCCTGATGGAGGACAAGGTCGCACAACACGGTGCCAACTCATCTGACTCCACTCAGCTCAGGTGGGAAGCTGCTGAAAACCTCTTTTGACTGCCTGAAACTCAATCAGTCCTGAATGTCAGTCTCACCACTGGCCACTCTGAGGACTCATTGTCTGACAGTGGACTGAGTATGTGCATGTGTGAGTGTCCATCAGGGCTCACTCAGTGCAACAGCGAACTGCATGTCCTGCTGATGTTTTAGCAGCTTCTAAGTGACTCACAGACAAAAGACCTGCTGTGTATCACACATTTTTACAGAGATGGGTAAGTGTGTGTGTGTGTGTACAAAGCTTTGCGTGTCACAGCCTCCAACATCACACATCAGGCCACACATTTAGTCAGGGCTGTGAAGAAAACAATTATTTTCATTACCCACTAATCAACCAGGATTTCTCTCATGTTACTGATTAATCACGTGGTGAAAAACATCCGACAGGCCAAGGTGACATCTTCAACTGACCCGTTTTCTCTGGGATACAGTCTAAAATGCAGCGACAGTATATAAAGCCTACTCTCATCGACGACTGAGAAAACAAGCAAATGTCCACAATATAGAAACTGGACTCAGCAAAGTTTCTACCATTGAGAACAAGCTAAATGATTCATCAATTGATTATTTGACTTATCAGTTCGCCGCTACACTTAATCATAAAATATGATGAGAGTCCCTCGTCACATTTCTTGACGCTCAGCGTGTCACTATAGTGGATGAGGCATACAGGGGCAGTAAGGACATGAGATGTAAGGCACATGTATAAATGAAAAGATCTCTCCACTAACGAACAAACAGCAGTATTAGTATCACTGAGCGATCATGGAAGGACTACACATCCAGAAACAGCTAACTGTTGAGTTGATTTACAGGTCGATGAGAAACACCTGAATCTACTGCAAAATGGTTTCACTTCAAAGCACAGACTCCTGTCTGCCTTTGACAACAGGATAAACACTGTATTGGTTCTGGACTCTTCAGGGGGATTTCTTCATACCAGCTGCACCCTCTAGCAATTTGACCTCCTTCCTTATACAAACCCCTTAACGATAATCTGGGCTTTGTTGATTATCACTTGGGAGAATTTTGTAGACAGTCTGCAGAAAACAAAGGGTCTTTATCTCACCTCCTCTGACAACTCCCCAAACACCGAGATGACATCCAGCAGCAGACTGGAAGTGTAGAAAGACTTGACCATGTTCCTGGAGGAAAAAAGGAGACAGAGGACGACAGACAGAGGTAAGGTGATGGGAAGTAAAGTAGGAAGGAAGGCAGGAAGCAGGCAGAGAAATGAGAGTATGTGAAGTGAAAGAGGGAGATAGAAAGATGGGAAACAAAACCATTAGTTCAATTAGGTGATGCCAGAACATCACAAGATAAAACCAAGTTTCACAATTTTTATATTTTATAACGATCTGACCTTTGACCCGGTGACATACCAAACCGGCCACAACAACAGCCGCATGCAAAATGTGATTCTCTAAACACTTGCGCTGTAAGTGTGAGGCTGAGGTTTACTGGGCTTAGGGGAGACACATAGTAGTCACAGCAAAGATTTACCGGCGCTCAGTTACACACACAGTAAAGGTAAAAACATGAATGGGTCCTTGTGGTGTGGTACACACTGAGCAGTGGACCCACTGGTGGAGGAAGTTTCTCATAAACATTCACCTCTGTGTCGTAACTGAAATTACCAGTTTGACTCGGGGCTTTACAGCCGGTTCCAGGCTGCTACAAAGCTGCAGGTCACATGTCTGCATGCATAGTTTTGTGTATACCTGTTTTTAATTAACATGTGACTGTGTTTAGGAGTGACATGACACAGTGCTGAGGCCTGGGTCCTGTCAGCGCAGGCCGCTGCCTCCTGTAAAAACACAGGCTGAGCAGAAGTATCACCCAGCCCTGCCTAATTTACCTGCTGGGGTTTCTGAGCAGTCGTTTATGCCACAAAGCCCAGAGAACCTGTCGCCTGCCTCCATTCATCCTCCCCAAACTGCCACCAGCTGCTCACACTCAGTGACAGGGAGGGAAACTGGCTTTCCTGCTGTGGTCCCCCGTTCACACCCACAGAAAGCTTAAGGTGTCATATACAGAGTTCATGAAGGAGAAAGCGCCCTCTGTGGACACCACTCACTTTACCGTTCTGTTTTCTTCCTCTCACACCTATTGCTGATTACTTTTGATTATTGATTTTACAGGGCTTTTGAATCCTGTTTCCCATCCTACGTGAGCTGATGTGATTCTTTTTCAGTATGTGAAACAAGTTGAGCAGGTAACAAAATGCCCCTACGAAAACAAGAAGTGACTCCGGAAAAAAACTGAGGGCAAAGGGGAGAAATCTCAGGACGTGTTATCATTAAAAGTGTGACATTAAAATAATTTCCCCAGAACTCTTTAATTCACAGATGCTTTCCATCAGGAAATGACCTGGTAAACCTCACACATCATATTCCAGATAAGAGGAATGAAAAATGTGACCTGGAACCTGAAACCACTTTACTCCTCTAATTTCCCAGAAGAAGGTTTTAGTTCTTTGGCTCTTCATATCAACCACATCACATGGCTGTTTTCTCTCTTCCCTGCTCTTCTCCCTCCTCCTGGTTTCTGCTTCTACACATTGACCAGGTTCTGTGGAAACTGCGCTGACAGTGGACAAAGTTATTAACACTTCAAAGGTTAAAACAACGTAGCTATCATGATTTAAACTACACATAGTTTAAAGAGGAAACACTCCAGCTCTACATGATTTCCTGTCAACACACTTATCTCAGACTTTTTGATAACAAAAACCCATATATACACACACTAGATCAACAGGCTGTCAGGGCCGCTGGCCGAGGTGGTTTCCTGACCTAAAGCTCTGCAGGTGAAGCCAGACTTCCTGCTTCCATGGAAGGAAAGGTGACCTGCAGCCTTGTAGTAGCCTGGAACCGGCTGTAAAGCCCCGAGTCAAACGGGCAATTTCAGGCTACGTAAATACAATTTCATGAAAACTGTTGGGAACAAAGAGCAGAGCAAACAACAACTATAACAAACTAGGATTCAAACCAAATAAAATCACAGATAACATTGCCCTTACAATGTAAATTAAGCAGCAATGATTGGTCAGTTATTGATTAGTCGATAGACAGGAAACCAACTAGCCATTTAGGTGATCATGACATTTTAATATAGACAATAAATTAATCAGAAAAATAATCAGACTGATCAATAATGAAACTTATTGTTGGCTGTTTATGGGTGGTAATGTTTTTGAAGATGTTACAGCAGCTTCATATACTGGCTCATAATTACATTCAGATAAGGACATTTGGCATCTTGTCCTCAAAAAGACTAAAACAGATGTTTTTTTAGTGCCATACTCAGTTTGATATGGCGCGTTAACAAAAAGAATTAGGATAAACATCAGCGTTAACCTGATTCCTAAGGAACTGCTCGTTTATAGCCTATACTACGTTGTGAAAATGGACCCTGATTCAGTTCATGGCTTCTGTTTTTTTGGCTTGTTTTGTTGTTGGCGTTTGCACTTCAAACCTTTTCAACAAAGAAAAACCAGCAGGTGTTCTGTGTGGAAAAAAAATAGGTAAAAGTAAAAGTTCCTGGGAAGAATTATGCACAGGATTTACATCCAAGTTGTTTTTATAGGTCACCGTTACAGAACAGGATGAAATCATCACTATTGCAATATTTATCATGACCTCCCTGAAACTCGGTGTGGATGGACGGCGATGACTGTGGCTGGAGCAGAGGGGAGGAGCAGCTGAGTCATCGCTCTCAGCACACACACACACACACACACGTCATGTACATGTCCGCTACACTACTATTGTTTGTGAGAAGAGAGGAGTGGAAAGCAGAGAAAAGAAGGAAACCCAAGATACGAGGAGATGGTAGATGACGTGAGGAGAAAGAGGGGAGAGAGGAAACAAGAGGAGAGGACAGAAACAGAAAGACAAGGATAAAGGGAAGAGCAGAGATACTCAAAGCGTTTTACTTATTTCAATAACCTGACTTTGAAAACAGCACTGACGCTGAGAAGTGCTCCACACCGCTGGAGGAGGAAATATAAAAGTGACTGGCTGGTCTGGAGGCAAACCGCGTTCAGACACGTACGACGTTTACACTTAAACATTTAGGACCAGAGTCACATACAAAACCTCTGATGCTTTTCTTACTTGTGGAACTGTCCTGCTCGGTCCTCGTTGTCGGCGTAGAGGAACATCTTTAAGGCGTAGTTTTCAAGGTGGGCGTTACCAACCACCTCCTGAGTGATGGATTCATTGTCACTCAGATCCTTCTTCATCTGCATAACAAAAACAAACACACACAATCACTCACATTGATTCATCAGACATTAAATCTCCAGTGGGATGACTGTAATCGGCTCCGGCTTTTATTGTGAAAGGTCAAAAGTGCAGTCCATGAAAGGACAAGATCATAATTGGAAGGAATACACAATAAATACCAAGATGATGTTGGGTGTAGTTATACTGTAGAGGGAACACGATCTGTCCACACACGTTCACACAAACACATAATGGCAGGCTCATAGAAGCACACACACACACACACTTCACACAGATGAACCTACTCCACACACACAGTCGTACACAGTGAGTGAGTGCCTCCAGAGGGAAATGGCAAACACACCAAAGAGGAACAGAAGAATCTTGGTAGAGGAAGAACAAGGACGTGACCATGAAAGACAGCGGCTCATAACAAATCCACCACGCAAACACAGAACAAACAACAGAGCTCATTTTCATTCAACTTAATTCCATCACTCTCATCACTTCACTGGAACAATAGCAGCAGATGGAACAGTTACTACAATCACAGTGAGCCGACATTTAATAAAAGAATAAAAACACACACCGACTCAGGCTCTGCCAAGGACGGTGCCTAGGAACAGACTGTGCATGTTTGAGCTGCATTTTGTGCTGTTACATAATAAAAGGGCTGTAAACAATATTTTAAAAATTCTCACCTACAAAAAAAGTTGAATAAATTCTAGATTAGAACGAGAAGCAAATAATTCAGCTCAAACATAGGACCTGTGAAGGTCAGTCCCACAGAACACCCACTGAGTCAGTACGTGATAACATTTGCAGATTCTGAGGAATAATTTACCAGTTTCTGCTCAAATCGAGCTAATTTGTTATGTTTTTCCATATAGTCGACAAGAAACAGATTAAACAAAGGACAGTCAACATCTGTGCCGACATATCCTGACTTTAACTCCTTAGTATGACTCAAGCCAAGAAACATCCCACACCTCCCACAAGGCAACTGGGAAGGTTTTTATTTTTCTATGCCACATTTACAATCTATCATACTGGTGCTGATTAACCAGTGTCTACTTCTTTAGTTCTGTTCTCAGCCTTATACCAGTTACTTGCCCACTGCTGCCTTACAGAAGGCCATGTACATGCACATTGAGAGCCGCTGTACCAGTCAAATTCCTTGTGTGTCCAAAACACCTGGCCAATAAAGCTGATTCTGATTCTGATAAAACACTCAACATGGCTGCCACACGTTAGCAAATACAGTAGTTTGTCAATACATGTTCAATCCTCACATGACCATCAACCTAGGAGTCTTTCCCATCGCTACCGTCCCCGCCACGTGATGTGAACGTGCCATCAGCCTCTCCCTGACGGCTGCTCCACACCTCCAGTCTGTGATGTAGCCATTCTCTTAGAAACTCGTGTCTCCGAGCCCAGGCTGAGATAACCCTCATTACCTCCCTCAGGACTTGATGTCCAACATTTCATACTTAGTTCTGACTAATTCATTCATCCCACCTCCAAAACATTACATTAATTCATAAATGTGCGTACTTATGCACCAAATTTCTTAGCAGCATTAAAGCAATAGATAGATTGTCATTGTCATTTTAACTCAGGCAAACATGTCCTCCCTTCAGTGGGCACCACCTAGAGCGCCTCCATCTCCCTCCATGTGCAGTGAATGTACTCCCTCCTATGAATACTCTCCCTCCTTCCCTCTCTCCATCATACTGTCCAGCAGGGCTTCAGGTTTCTTGTAAAACCACTAAAGCAAACAAGATGGTTCCTCCCAGCAGGTGGACCCTGACCAGCCTGAATAGATACACTGTTTAAATCAGCCTGTGTGTGTGTGTGTGTGTGTGTGTGTGTGTGTGTGCGCACTGTAGCAGAGCAGAGGAATGTAAAACCACTGAGCAGAGTACAGAACGAAGGAAGGACAACTGGGCAGGCAACATAAAACTCAGTACACTCAAACCTGGCTTTAAGGGAACTGTACAACATTTAGCAACTTTTAAAATATTAAAAACTGCAAAAAGTTAAAGGCTGGGTTCAGAATTTACTTCATGTTCACTGAAAGACGGTCTCTGTGATCATTCCTCAGAATGTTTTCAGTCATAGATATAGCACCTGAGTGTTGTCATAAGACAAACTTTAAGGTGACGTGGCTTTTCAGTATGCAAATAATGGCATTTCTGCATTATTCAAAGTGGGAAACACAGGACAGAAAACAGCGAAGTAGCTCCACATCAACACACACGGGGACATAAACAGGTCTGAATGACTCAAGATGTTCCACATCTAATGTCATACATGCACTCCTCCTGTCTCTTCTTCGCTGTCTGTCCATCATCTTGTGCTGCCTGACATTTGCTCCTGCTTACTGTCTTTTCTGTTTCTTTGGGTACATCACAGTTCCCTTATCTGACTGTTCTTTCAGTCCCAAACACCTTACTCCCGCTCTGAGAAGCGGGCTGCTGGAGGCCGGCTCAGTGCTATGAAGCCATGCCACAGGTTCACGCACATATTTCAAAGACAGACTGAATTTTCATCACATATGTCAACCATAATGCCATAAATTCCTTCAGAGGCAGCTAAAATAAAGTGTAAAAAGTGTATTTTTACACTGTAACATCTGTGGTTGCGGCACTAGACAAACCTCTGAATTTAGCAGACCGGTGGCTGCTGGTGAATTCCCACTCGGCACCATGCGAAACAGATTTTTAAACAAATGATTTTTCCACCGTCCCAGTGAGAGTGAAGAGTTGGGCCAGAGATGATGGTGGAAAATAGAATTAATGAGTCCGACATGTATTACACATATGAGAGGAGAGAGAGAGAAGCTGCTGTGGTCTGTCTTGTCTTGCTCTGTAGAAATGAGTCACAAATACCAGTAACAGTTTATTGGACAAATAACCTCAGGGTTCCCCCCATGTTTCAACAAACTGCACTTCTCCAAAGATGGACACCGTTGTCTAGGGATGTACCAAATCAGAGCTGAACTGGTTTTTATAGTCTGGGGTCAACGTGCTAACATCCATCAACACCACTAGGGATGTACCAAATCAGAGCTGAACCGGTTTTTATAGTCTGGGGTCAACGTGCCAACATCCATCAACAACGCCCACTGTCCTTAACGTCCAGTTTTCTCCAAATTTCCCTTCCAGACCTCACTCTGTTCCAGTGCATGTGAAGTAACATCAACACATTTTTTACCCGTTCCATGTTTACAGGTTACCCATCAGGACTCCTGACACCTCATTACAACCCAACAACTAAATATCAGTGGCAGCATGTGACCTGCAAGTACAACATCCACTGCAGGGGACATATATACAGACAAACACATGCACCTTAGAACACACAAACAGGTCAGTACTAAAGCTAATACCAACACTTGTGATGGCAACTGATGAACAGTTGCCGAATTTTACTTCCAATATAAAGCTCAGTATTACAAATCAACAATTTACCTAACAAGAACACGCACCTAAAAGCAGCAGGTGTGAGTCCTGGTGGGAGACACTAATACAGGTCCCTGGGGCCTGAGTAAAACGTGGTGTGAGGGTCGAGCCCTGTGCACGTGTCTGTTTTCGTCCCTGTCCAACAGTTAAATGGCTCTGAGCGCTCAATAAATGCGAGTCCCGCATCACTGTAGGATGTTCCACTCCTTTCCCTCTCTCCTCCCCCCATGTCTCCTCCTTTCCTGCAGAAACACCACAGCCTGATGCCATTCACCTCCTCATTTCACCCCTTGTCCAGGGATCCTGTGTCACAGCAGTAAAAATGAAGACTTCAGGACTAGGCAGTTGCAGCAGTCACCACCTCGCCCTCTGTCCCTCTCAGGCTTAATGAAGGACTCATTTGTTTGACCCCCACTGGGACGCTCTGGGCTCATTAGCCTGTGTTGGTTTCATCTCACCCCCTCCCTGCTTCCCCTCCTCATTAAACAACCTCGTAAAATCTAGCTAGTTTTGCCCATGTTGAAAAACTTAAGGTGAAACTAAAAAGGTCCAGTTTGGTTGGTAAAACCCCACTGGCTGGCCCTGCTGCTTTAAATAAGGCACTGATTCAAAGTCGTACACAGTGAGTGAGTTGCTGTGTTGTAAATACAACATGTAGGGGTCGCTCTGCACACATCTGCAGACCCTGATTCCTGGCAGGCGCTGAGAGTTGTGGTCAGGAAACCTCAAACCTCAGGCCTTTTAGAGTGTGTGTATTCATTACAGCAGACCCAGGCAGTGACATTACAGGCAGGCATCAGCTCTACCTTTGTGTAAGGACAGTGGTCCAGCAACATTTTCCATTTTAAACTGCTCTGCCTCTGGACACTTCACAGAGATGTACGCTGAGTAATGAGGCTGTCAGCTGGCCCATGTCGCTTTGCCTCTACAGGCCACTACGCTTTATTAAGTATTTATTGGTTTAATGTGACCCCAAAACAGACTCTTATCAACCCTTCACTCAGTTCTTTGTCCAAATTTATTTTGATCTGCTTTTCAGAGCTGAACACTTGATCCTAAAACCGTCCAGGATTTTTACTATTACATGATTCTCTCATCCAGAAGTTTCCAAGATTTTTACTATTACATGATTCTCTCATTCCAGATTTCTGTCAGCTCCTTTGCAAATCTACATTAAATTATGTAGAATTCATTTGCAATATTGTCTGAATCTAAGACAAAGCTGGAACTTTACTATGCAACATTCTGATGAACAGGAGCTTATCAGTAGGTTTGCTCAGTGTCATAGCAGCCGAGCGCCATCAGGCCACCAGCTGCCTTTGGTCGGCATGCTGCAGGCAGGTCAGTCCACTGCCACAGAGGAACCACGCAACTTTCTCTCTTTGCTGAGAAGCCACTGGAGCATGGCTGATGACTAGATGCTAACGCTGCACAGTTCCAAAAGGAGTTAAAACACAAGCTGGGATATAAACATATTGATATAAAAGGCTAAATATCAAATAGCGTAAACTACATCTACCTTGACACATAGGTTGAACAGATATACTGTATAACCCTATGATTTTCTACACTGTTAATACAGAGGTATTACTCACTTTAACTTTAGTTAGATCATTGCAAAATAACCAGCAGGACAGGTTTATGGAACTATAGGATTCACTGGACGTGATGAAATACCTTGTTTTGTCAGGGATCTAATACACTGAATTATCCAAACACAAACAATCCCATCTGGTTATTTGATCATGTGATATGACTGAAAGCTCCAGAGCTGCAGATACAAAATGGATCCTGCTGTTTCCAAGGTCAAAGGTGAACTTCCAATGTCTACTTACAAGCCTGCATGGATGAGATGTCTTTAAAGGGCTCAAACAAATCCAAATATCCACAGCATCATGTGTAAAATGGACCAGCTGCTCAATTACATTTCCATTTATTCTAGATACGACTCTATCATGACAGTGTTCTACTATAAAACTTACATGCACAGTGTATATTATCGCCCATACCACGACAGTGTTCTACTATAAAACTTACATGTACAGTGTATAATACCGCCCATACCAGGTCCACACAGATGTGACTTACCGTCTCCAGCTGGTCCATGAGTTTGACCAGGAACTTTCGGCACTCTGGTGTTTTACTGTCCAGCTTCATGCCCGTCTGCATAGCATAGAGCCGACCTGCAGGAGAGGAGGGTGGAGGGGTTGGGGGGGGAGAGAGATAAAAGGTGAAGAGGACAACATCTTTTTACTGCTTAGTAAAGTCCTTCCACTACAGCTGCCTTTAAACACTACCTGAGTCACATGGAAGACTCACTTCACTGATCGTGATGAATTTTTCACAACAAAGCTCCAGAGCGGCTCCTTGACATGCCACTCGTTTTCCTGACAGCAATGGATCAAAAAGATCTGTGACAGGACAAGCCTGATCGTACAGAGGAGAGTGTCAGAACTCCAACTCCCATAATTCCTCATCTGTCAATCAGGTCAGGTCAGATTCTCCTGTTCACATGGTAGAAAACATTCCACCTTCCAGACAGAAGACCTGAGCAGCAGCAGACAGCCTGTAGGGACACCTGTCTGACTGGCTGACTGAACAGACTTACTGTGGGGTTTTATTAGTCAGACTGCTGGAGATACTAGGGCTGGAGGACATGGACAAAAAGCTTATCACACTATATTTTTATACATGGATCAACAGATAATTCTGACTGTGATAACAATGAAGGAAATACATTTGACATGGCTATTATACCTCAAGGATACACGCTGTTTCTTCTGGTGAATAACAAGGTGAACAAACTCCACTGGATCTCTTTTAATTTGAATTTCAAGGGTGAATTTGAATCCCAAGTGGTGACAGTCTGTAAAGAGCTCTTCCCCTGTTCCCCTGCATTCTCCATAAAGCTAAAAAATGTTTCCATTCTGGGTCTTCATACCCGGAGACAACCACGTTCATTAGCTGTTGGAAACCTGGTTTTTCCACCGTTCTAACCGGCCTCATGTCTTTCTCTATAAAATATGGAAGTGCACTCACCATGTCCCCATTTCTTGTTTACCTCTTACATGAGGTAATAAAAAAGGGCAAAAGGAGCAACAGCTACTGGGGTTTGAATTAACTTTACCACAGGAGGCTTGGTTACCAGTCTGGGCTGCAGACTTTGGCCCCCTGTATACTGGGATGGTGTGTATGCGGTGGTTACTTGTAAGTGGTTCAGTTCAGGCTGTATGGTGTGTAAAATGATGACTGTGGAAGCTGAGCTGTTACAGCCTGCACAAAAAGGTTATTTTAAGTAAAAAAAAATAATGCAGATGACAGATGGCTCTGTTAGCTGCCTTGAGTTGCATCCGTCCTGTAATCTGATAGAGAGATACAGTCTATGTGGACCCACTGTTAGAAGACTGATGTGACTCAGGATGCGTAGCGGACTCTGGCTATCTCACAGCAAACCTACACTGTGTGCACAATTATTAGGCAAGTGAGTATTTTGACCATATCATCATTTTATCCATAATTTCCAACTCCAAGCAGTATAAACTTGAACGCTTATTGGACTTAATGCATATCAGGTGATGTGTTTTAGTGTAACGAGGGAGGGTGTGGCCTAAGGAGATCAACACCCTATATCAAGGTGTGCATAATTATTAGGCAGAATGTTCTCCTCTGGAAAAATGGGCCAAAAAAGAGACTTAACTAAAGAGATTTAACTGACTCTGAAAAGTCCAAAA